ATATATAACCCAGTGACAATAGAAACTTTTCCCTTTGTTGTTTGTAACTGCGCCCTTGTTCACTTGAGTAAGTATGAGCAAAATTTTCGCACATCACTCACCATGTACCCAACGATGACTCCGCGTTGATCTTTTCCCTGAACAAAAATATAACCACGTAGTCACGTGACCCACAGGCAAATAAAACATGTTTTGTGACTTAAGTTCCGCCTAAATTGTGTTTAGATCAATACTTCAGCTATTTCAGAACCGATAAAAACAAGCCACATAGACATTCCAGGTGGCTTTTGTCGACTCCAATTGCTGTGCAAGATGCTAAGGTTAATCCCTGAGGAGCGCTGTTGGACAATTTGAATACCCCAAGCAGTACTATCGGCCCGTAGAGTGGCACGTATGCTTCATTGCTCCCATTCTACCATCAATATCAATGAGAGGGTGGGGGCAGAAAGAGGAGACAAAAGCAGACGACAGAACATTGCTAGAGAGCAGGAAATGAGGTGAAAGGAGACAAATTTAGAGAAGAAAATGTTTCGGTCGCTACCTGGATTCGAACCCGGGACATTTTGAATGAGAGGCCAACACCTTAACCTCTAGGCCACGAGAGCCCCCCGATCTGGTTTTTATTTTACACATTGACATAATTCCAAATGTTTAAATTCCCACTGCTCTACGTATCGTATCGTGCTCTACTAAAATTAAAAAGTGACATCATGAACCCTCTCCCAACCAGAGAGGCCTTATTGGTGGTCCTCTCAGACAGTGTAGTAATAATAATACGGGGGTTCGAGCCGCAGGCCCGACGTTGTGTCCTTGGGAAAGGCACTTTACACGAATTTTCCCCCACTTCAGCCTGGTGAGAATGGGTACCCAGCTATACCTTCTTATACTATCTCTGACCGTCTAGGTACCCAGCTATAGACAGTGAAAGATCTTGTCAGTTTGTTAGTGTTTGAGCGCTCAACCAGCTGCTTGCACTGTATGCTTCCAGGAAGCTGAGAATGTTTCTGAGTGTTCTATGATCTGCTGAGGGTAATAATATAGTGTAAAGCGCATAAAGCTTGCTTTCGAAAGGGGATATGCGCTATACAAATGCTATTTATTATTATTATTACAATGCACAAAATTAGAAGGTTTAGATCTAGGTCTATACTCTCAAAAACAAAATGCACCTCGCGAAATATCACTTCCGGGTACTTTCACTCTGGCGGACAGCTACAAAGATTTGTTTCCTTTCTCAGCGAAATAAGCACAAATGCCAAAGAAGGGCGGGAACGTTTTATCAAATAAATTTTTATAAAATTCAGAAAATGAATAAATAAAAAATCGGGCTCCGTCATGGGGAACTATCTATCTTTTTGCTCTTAGTTTCAAACCTTCAACTCTGTAGCTGTCGTAATTTTTTGGGGAAAGTGACACGTGTGTTTCCAAGTTGCTAAATATAATAGATAAGGTTTGACAAAAAGTTGAAGAATCATTGGCAGCTATCCACAAGCCTTGATGTTTACGTTTTTTATACAAGTAGTTTTCATCCAAGAGGTTATAAACAGAACTAGAGGTCTAAGCTGTGACATTGACATCACGAGTGTCAAACTTGAGGGGCGCGAGCCATTCCAGTTCCAGAGAGGAATAAAAGGCCAGTCGGTGCACAGCAACACTTTTCAATCACGGATTAATGAGGCGCTCATATGACCTCATGCAGTTGCGAGCGCCGTAAAACCTTAACTAAAACGAAACTAAACGGATTAATGATACTCTGGGAAATCTTTTGATGTTGATTTCTTTTTCATGTGATTTGCCTTACACTAAAATTTACTCAGGGATTTTTGTGATTGTTTACCTTGAAAAGACCCAGATAATCTCCAAATAATACAAATAGAGCCTTTTACTCGGTGAGACCATAAGGGAGAGTAAAATACAGAACAAAAAATGAATGAAATGGACTTGATGATCACTTGTCAAAATTTTTAAAAACCCATAATTTTATTGAAATCTTTTGCTGTGCGTCGTTATATCAGTATGTCTAGATTTAATAATAATAATAATAATAAATAGCATTTATACTGCGCATTTCCCTTTCCTAAAAGATGCTCAATGCGCATTACAATGAAAAAGACATCACATCTTAAAAATTAATCGACACAAATGTGTACGTAAAACAAAGTATTATACATATAATATAAATGCATATGTGTAAAATTTTATACCAGAAAAAAAGTCTCGCAGTGAGGTTGAAAATGTGTTCACTAAAAACACACAATATGCAACAAAAATTCACGAACATTTAGCACCGCTGACCACATCAAGGAGCTCGTATCGGCCTTTTGGAATCAGGAATGTGACTGAGCAGCTGCCAGAAGCTTGAGCTGCAACTCTAGCTCACCTTCAAGGCTGGCTGGACGGAAAAGAACCACTGTCGATGTCGTTGAGATGAGAGAATATAAAATAACCAACTCAATAAGACCGGCGTTATATTCTGTCTCATTTGTGGAACCGATGCCAAACAGCATGTGCAACAGCAGCAGCAGCAGCAGGGATTCATGGAAGATGGGGTGTTGTGTAGCCAAACACCATTGCCAATCAACGCCAATTTTTTAAAAGATATTGCGAACGTTTAAGATTAAACAGGCTATTTATTTAAGTGTTGCATTTTAAAACTTAGTCAATATATTATAATCATTTCATATGTGCCCGATATCAAACGACGCTCTTTGAGTGTGCGCACAGGATCCATACAATAAGTGATTTACAGTATCCCAGCCTACAATTAATTGTTCATTTTGAGACAATAACAAATAAATATATTAAATAATTAACCCAGTCTTAACATCCTTCGTACTCTATGAAGACTTACGCTTTGCATCAGTAGAAGGGGGGTGTAGACAACATGACATAAAAGCAATCCATTCTGTAAGAATGAAATTGTACTTTTTCTTAACAAACTCAATTACTCATTTTGTCTCCCTCCACCCCCACCCCCACCCCGCCCGGAAAAAACAAGCAATACATCATATTAGTTATTACCTCTCTGTTCATTTGTTGCCCGCATTTAACTAAGTGCATTTATGTTTCCCAGAATCGGTCAGCAGGTGCAGTATTGCGCATGCGTGTATGTTATATGATTAAACAACAACTGCAAGCAATAAGAAAACTTAAACTTAAAATAAAACTGAACTGAGCTGAAACTCAGCTATGAAGACCTAGGCGTAGCGTGGGACACGCAGTGTGACAGCGCTGTTTCTAATCCTCTCCAAAAATGGCGAAAAAGCGAGCTGAGTGGGCCCGCACAGCCACACTGAGTTTACGTGGGTGACGTCACAGCTGCCTCCTATGGTACTGTTATTACCTCTTTGAGTTTTCCTAAACTGATGTTTTCACGCAACTCTCTCGTAATTGTTTGTTGGCTGCAGTTCTTTGTGGGACGTGCACCAGTGAACTTAAACATTTCACAAATTAAAACCAGGTCTACCTACCATTGGCAGCAGCTGTTGGCCTGTGGGACCGAAAATCTTTAGCACGTTTTTCCGTCCTTGCTGTCAGTGTGAGTAACAGCAAGGTGCGGTTCTTCAGGAGAGAGCTGAAGGGTAAACAGGTTGATATTTTTGTGAGAATTTCGAAACGGTATAGGCCGAGTGCTCATAGGTAAGTGTTGATAAAAGTGTGTGTGTGTGTGTGTGTGTGTGTGTGTGTGTGTGTGTGCGTGTGTGTGTGTGTGTGTGTGTGTGTGTGCGTGCGCGCGTGTGAGTCTGTGTTTATCTCGTATCCGATTTTTATTTTAAGTAAGAAAGACGATGCCTTTATTTTTTTTAATGAAACTACATGTATTTAAATTTGGATGCTTAATGCCATTCTACAGTATCTTTAAAAAATCAATGCAGCTCTTTTTACGCCCCCTTGGACACAATTTAGATCCGGCAGGGGGCTTGCCTTCGACCCTGCATGACAAGGCCGATCCGGGCTGAGAGGGATACAACTTCAATTTCCAACTTTTGGAAGTTATTATCAATAAATATCTGCTTCCCCCCTTCGACCCTACAATTATTACAGTTAATGCATGCCTCCCTCAGAACTGCAGGTGTGTTTTTTTAATGCACTATCTCCTCCCGTTTTCGCGACCAAAATTCAATACTTTCAAAGTGATTTCCTAACAAAAAAGCAACAACAACAGAACATTGTAATTAGTTCAATATAGCACTAGTTTTAACAAACTGAAGTTCCTTTGGTGCTATAAATACAAGCGAATAGACTTTTAGTTTTAGTAAGAGTTTTATGGTACTTGCAACACAATAAGGTCATATAAGTGCCAAATATTAGAGGTATTACAAGAGAGTAACAAACATAAAAAAGAAAAAGGGGAGATAAGGACTATAGATGTTTGATATAAAAGAAGAAGCAAACCACACCGGAGCACCCGCCAACCACCCACGAATAGACTTTGAGGTGATTCCTAGGGAGAGAGGGGATGGGGGGGGGGGAGCCGTTAGGAACATGTACCATATGTGATGATTCTGTTGTTGGATGAACCCAACTACTATAGACATATAGACACACAGACAACAGCACTAAGTTCACGAAATCGGTAGCTTAGAATTACAAAGTATATCTGACATTTTGGCTGTTTGAAAATGGTGAAATGGTATGGGTTTAACGCCCCTTTCAACACTATTAGGTTATTTAAGGGGCGGGACCTCCTAGTTTAACGTCCGTCTCCGATAGGACCGTTTTGGCTGTTTTGAGCTACTAGGACTAGGGCCATGAGGTCGGAAACCAAAGTAATGTTTGGCAATGTTCTATCTGCTCTTCCAAAATCGTAAGATTATTCGGACTCGTTGTGAAGGTATTAAAAAAATTGTTAGGCAGCGTGGTGGAATCAGGCTCTCGTCAAAATAATCAAAGTCAAAGTGAAGAAACTTGCATTTTTCCGCAGGTTTGTGAATTTTTAGCATTTTGTTGTTGTTGTTTTTTGGGGGGGCTCAACACCTTTTATGCCCATTAAAGGATTCATTTCTGTGCGGATTTTTCTGAAAAACGTTTATTAAAGGCACAAAAAATGTAAATTTAAAGTTACCACGGACTCTTAAGCTAAGGAAATAATTAATCTTTGGCGACCATTTTCTCATTAATTTTACCTCTGAAAACAGGTGACCCCCACCTCCTTTATTCGCAAATATCTCGACTTGTATGTAAGATAAATGGATGGTTTTTTCATCGAAATAAAGACAAGTTAATAAGCTTTAAGTTTAAGATTATACCAATAACTCTACATGTCCAAAAACTGACGAGAGCCTGATTCCACCACGCTGCCTCACAATTACATTTGAAAAAGCTTGACATGACGTAGTGAAACTTTTTTTTAATTTTTGACGCCAAATTTCTCAAAACTAGGTAGCCTACATGCCATTGTATTGACTGGTATTGATCAGATAGAACTGTGTAATCTTGGCGTAGCAAAATGTCACTGGACTAGCGCTGTTATTCGTACGTTCTGAAGTTCTGCCTCTTTCGATGTGTTTTGGAGTTTACTTTTATATGAACACCTCAGTGGGTGGTTGGCGTGTGCTCTGGTGTGATTTGCTTCTTCCTTTCTAACAAACATCTATCTTCTTTATCTCCCCTCCTTTTTTGCTTTTGTTACTCTCTTGTAACACCTCTAATCTTCGGCACTTATATGACCTTGATGCGTCGCAAGTGCCGTAAAACACTTACTAAAACGAAAAACGAACACCTCATCATTCGTCATGGAGAGCCGGATCTAAAACAGACATCGGTGACCGTGACTCGTCGCTCTTTTCTCTACTCGGATGCTCTCAGTTCAGTTTTAGTAAGAGCTTCACGGCATTTGCAACACTTTCAGGTCATATTATAATATAAGGGCGACCGAAGACTAGAGGTGTTACAAGAGTGTAACACACGCAAACAGAGGGAGGAGAGTTAAGTCCGGTATTTATGTTTAATAGAAAAAAGGAGCAAACCGCACCAGTCACGAGCTAACCACCCATGATGCTCTAAAAAAACTATTAAAAAAAACAACAGCCAAACAACAACAACAAAACACACAAACCCCAAAGAACAACAACAACAATAACAACAACAACAACAACAACAACCCCCCCCCCCCCCACACACACACACACACAATTTATCACCTTAGTTTTACGTTATCTAGATTCTATCTGCCCAAGTTCTCTGAGTATGTCATTCTGGTCTGCTCCTATCTCATCTTCTAGAGAGACCAAGGGGTTCAATCAAACGCCTTCGTGTCGATTCAAAATGTCCCAGGAACTGTATTTGTTTGCTTCTTCCTAATTTTTATTTCATCGTTACGAAAAAAAAAGCATGATCAGTGAAGGCAGGGAACGAAGATCGGAAGGAGGAAAGCAGAGCAGTAGGGTAAACCCAGGTAATTTTGAACGCACTAGGACTTTTTATAGTATACATGCATATATATATATATGTTCGTCCTTCCTGAGGGAAGAAGACCTTCTTCATCATATCCAGGGGGTGGGGTGGGTCCTCGGGTGGCTGATTAAGCCAATCTTCGCCTTGAAAGGTCCTTGGGCAGTGAGGGCAAGGTAGCGCTGTAGGGTCATGAATTGCGGGAGCACTGCTTGCACGGGACTTTCTTGTTGCGCGCTTGCTCTTCGCTGCTTCCAGACGCCGTGATTCATACGCTGCCGCTCCCTTGCTGATGGCTCCACGCCAGGCTGCACGGTTTTGGGCTGTCGTTTCCCACGAGTTGTGGTCAATGCTGAAGTCTTTCAGAGAGGCCTTCAGGGTGTCTTAATACATGTAGGCTTAGTGGGAGAGCACAAAGGCAGCCGATTTCTGTCACTTAACCACTAGGCTAATATAAGGGCGAATATATAACGCCCAATATTCCACAGAAATAAAAAAAAAGAGAACTACAATGGCTAAGGCTAATTTCAATAAAATGAGCCCAATCCTGAAAAATAGAAACATCTCAATGAACACCAAAATGAAAGTCCTGAAATGCTATGTTTGGTCAACCCTTCTATATATGGCTGTGAATGCTGGACAATCACTGAAGACAGTGAAAATAAAATAGAAGCAACAGAAATGTGGTTTCTTAGGAGACTGCTAAGAGTATCGTGGAAGGAAAAGAAATCAAATGAGGTAGTGCTTGATGAAGCCCACGTTGGACGCTCAATGTTAAAAACAATCAGGAAACGACAAATGCAGTTTTTGGGACATCTGAATAGACATAAGGGTCTTGAACATCTAGCTCTCACTGGCAAAATTGAGGGCAAGCGAGGCAGGGGTAGGCCCAGAACAACATACTTAGGGAACCTAAACAAATGGGTAACAGGAAAAGATCAGGGAAACGTAGCTTTTTTTAGAGCATCTGAGCAAAGGAATGAATGGAAAACTATGATCGCCGATGTCTGTCGCAGATCTGGCACTGGATGATGATGATGAACTACTAGGCGCCGTAAGTTATAAGAATCAATCTATACAATTTCTACAAGCGCACAGATACACGGCCTACTCTCTGTGCCGATCTGCGGGATCGGTGGCGGCTTACTTTATAGGAATGACATTTTGATTTCTACTCGCCGAAAGCCGTCCCTAGGGAAAAAGTGGAGTGCCCCGACAGGGGGCGTCACTGGATGTGTGACGTCATAGGGCTGGACTGGGAACTTCTTCAACTGACCATTATCTCAACATGGAAACTTCGTAAACAAAATCTGATTTGATATTTGAAATCAGCAATTCAAATTCTACTGGCTCTACGAGTAGAAATGTAGTGTGTGGAGTATTTTAAAAATAAGTTATAATGGGTTTTTTTAATCCACAGATTGTAGTTCTTGAGTTGAGAAGTGTGCTCTGTATTTTGAGGCACGGCGCGCGCGGTGTGTGTGTGTGTGTGTGTGTGTGTGTGTGTGTGTGTGTGTGTGTGTGTGTGTGTGTGTGTGTGTGTGTGTGTGTGTGTGTGTGTGTGTGTGTGTGTGTGTGTGTGTGTGTGTGTGTGTGTTCAAGAAATACAGCGGTTCACGTATTTTGCCATTATTAATGTGAGCAATGCATGGGTTTCCGCTGTGTGCAAACGGTCTCTCGTATGGGATAAAAGATATAAATTTAGTTTTATGCAAATCGAATAATCACTGACAAGCTGTGGGAAAAAAATTGTCTTTGAGGTAAAAAAAAAAAAAAAAAAGAAAGAAAGAAAGAAAAAAAATGAAAGTAAGTACATGTAGAATTTGCCCTCCAATTTGTTTCTTTCTTAATTTTGGAAGAGCGCTATCCAATATTAAAAACTCTTCATCCAAAGAAGACAGCATGTTGGAATTTACAACCCGAAAGTCGTTCCCAACAATATGACACTTAAAGTAAATCCCAACCTGTCAAATCTAGATCTAGTTCAGAGGGACAGTCTACATGCGCTGAAAATATGTGTCTTTTAGGTTCTACCCTCGGAAAGATCAGGGCAGGGCTAATATGTCACCGATACACCGACACATATTTGGTGGCCTCTCTGTCCTTGCCTTTACGCTCTATGCCCTACTCGTAAATACAAAGCAGATAATTTGGTGACAGCTGATCAACAAGGAAGAGGAAGAAGCAGTTCAGCAGGTTGGAAAACAATACATTTTAATATGTCACGACCCAGTGGATTCAGGCGTTCATCTGTGTTTGGACATGTAGAGTTATTGGTAGGATTGGTAGGCTTATCATCTTAAAGCTTGCACAGAGGTCGAGATAATTGAGGCTGAACGAGTTTGGGTTGGGGTCACTTGGGATCAGAGGTTAAAAATATCGAGAAAATTGCAGCCCAAGTCAGAGACCGTAAACACCGAGATGGTGCAATCCTTCTTCAGCCTTAGTGCATCGTCGGAGAATCGAGGTCAGCGACTGCGCGCGTTGCTCTGTGCATTAATGAGCTCACACAACACACGTAGTGTTACTATATAACACGAGCTGTGGGGCGACCAGTTGGCCCCATTTTAGTATTTTATTCAAGAGAGACGTTTTTAATTCTAGCCTCAATTGTTGTGGAAAAATATGAATACGTTTAGATAAATTGATACAAACGGCTGTGCAAAGTTTAGGTTAAATTGATTCACCCATTAAAGAGATGTTTGAGGACATTGCGCCACGAATTTTTGACAGCACAGTAAAGATCATCGTGCAGTCTGACGTTCATAAATACACTGACTCATAGTTCCACTGTGTTGCATTTGCAGGAATCACCTTTGTTTTCAATTACGTTTGGCTCCTGGGGCATTTTCAGCTTTAGATTCTGTCTACTGTGCGCTCTGTTACTCTGTTCATCAAAGGTTTAAAATGCGTTTTTTTTTAAAGCAGCTTCAAACAAACCAACAAATTCCACAAGTTTAAAACTGACTTTTTCAAGCCACCGTGACGTCAATTATGTTCAAATTGTTTCTGGCTGATGAGGGTCAGGTGCTTTGCATGGGAAGATGAGGAATCTTCCAATATCTCTGTACAGTCCTTGCAGACTACATCGTAAATTTTCTTCAAAATGTACCCACTTACGTCAGAAATTTCATTTTTAAGTGCACTGCATCTTTAATGTATTGCAAAATTTAACAAAATTAACAATGTATCTGTGTTTTTTATCTAGGTCTTCCGGAATTGCAACTGTTTGACTGAAATTCTTACTCGTTAGATTTTGATTTATCAAAAAGCTATCCACTACATCCCTGCAACTGCTTGAAGGCGATGCGATCATAATTTGTCGGCCATTATCTGTCTCTTCAAACGGAAGTGTAACTGTTGTGTGTGGGGGGGGGGGGTGTCTGGATTGTCAAGATATGTCCACCTTTCCCTCTCATGGTGACTGAGAACAGATGTCCAAGTTCATCTTGATATCACTGTAAGTAATCGCCTATTGCAGCTCACAATGTCTGCCGCAAGACCTTGCAAAGCAGCGATGTTGTAGATCCACTCACTGACTCATATTACAAATGTAATGCTTTTGCAACTTTCTTTTTGTCTTCTGTGCCAAACTTCAAGAATTATCTTTCAACCACAGAAGTGTCTGCTGCAAAAATCCATGGTGCTGTGATGTAGTTTTGACTGGGTTACGATATTCGACAGAGAATGGCACACTAAGTGACCAAATGAAAACGTTGAAAAGATCATCAAAAAGTCTTTACACAAATCAGATATAGCGATGTTAGAAAAAGGATTAATTCAGAGATACGTATAGTGTCCCAATTTAATTGCTTTTGATATACTGCCTACTCTAAGTACGTGCACAGCCAAACAAACCCTTTGTCGTCCAAAACTTGATACACAGTTGGTTAACTAGGGTGCCACCCTGAATAAACCTAAGGCATTGTCTTTTTCATAGAAATTTTGAATAACTGCCCAGCTCGCAGTATCATCTTGATGAGTGGGCCCTACAAATTGTGGTAGATCAACAAATTGTTTCTAGTTCTTAATTAAGTGTGGAGGATCAAAGAGGACTGTGATGTTATCACCCTCGTGATGAAAAAAAAAGGCTTTTCGGGGGTGAGACTTAGTTTAGTGTTCTAAAACCGTCTGGTTGTAAGGGCCTTGGTCACACGCAAGCCTTCACTTTCAAACCAACATATTTAAAGCTTTTAATGGCCTCTAACAATGGGACAAAGAGCTGCACTACCCGCACCAGGTACATGTGCTTCCACAAAGTGGGTGTCCTTAGAAAATGTAAATTTACATTTGTTCGTTTGTTGTTGCTTTTTTGTTGTTGTTGTTGTTGCTTTTGTATGTGTGTGTGTGTGTGTGTGTGTGTAGTATTTGGCCTAAATCAGTAAAACTTTGACAAGATCTTCTCCTGACCACGAGACGGCGCTGGTTCCACAGTAGTGACAAATTACATGTACACAATGGGGGAAATCAAACTTAGCGGGATTTCTGTTGATTATAATTTATTGTTAGGGCAGAACGTAAAACATACTGAGGGACAATCGATCTTAGGGGATGTTGTTGTTGTTGTTTGTTTGTTTTGGGGTTTTTTGGGGGGTTTTTTGTTTGTTTTTTGTTCCGTTTGTTTGTTGTTCTTTTGTGTGAGTTTTTTTTTGGAAAGGGGGGGGGGGGG